CATTTTAACACAGTCTTTTCATCCTACTAGTGCATTCCATCAAAAATAATACCAGTCCTATTCCAAAATATAGTTACACAATATAGAGCATCTTTACTGACTTGCTCTGGTGTTCTCAAATGGCTCATCTCCTACTCCTCCAGCAAAAATGGGCTTTTGTGCAAAGTCAGATGAATTCTTACCCAGCTCTTGGTTACTGTAAGTCACTGCCTTGTACCAACTGATGAGCTATTCCAGTGTGTCAGAATAATCTGCCCTCCAGTCAGGTGGGCTGAAGGATTGGGGTGAACACACCGCATGTACACACGAATGGGAGCATTTACCCCCGTTCTGTACTTATTCAGGCACACCATTAGTCTTCTCATTACCAAGTGGCCTTTGTGTCCTTTGCCTGTGCAACACGTTATGTAGACCTGGTACAACCAGTTGCATTTTCTAGAAAAACTGTCATTTAAACAATAATAAATAATACTGGTCTTGCAAATTCTGTTGTTGAAGGAGCCTGGGCTTATGAAGAAATAAATACCAATTTGTCTCTTTGCTCTAGGTGTCTCCATGCTGTAGATCAAACAGCAACTGGACACTGCTTGCAATAAAGATGATGACCACGGGGTTGTGTGGATGTGTGAAGCCTGGAAGTCAAAACACCAGTCTTTGCCCTACGTCTGTGGCATGGGTAACCCAGAGCACCATTTCAGTTCTGCCTGAGCTGCCTCCGAACCACGCTGCTAATCGCAACACCACCTAGATAAACAACACGAGTAACTCCCTGCCTGGTTATTCATGAAGTCATGGCTGACCAAGAGCAAAGCTTTTTCTGACAGCCAGTGTGTATCTCTGCGGCATAGTCTTCATGTAACAGCAGAGAATGAGATTGAATACATAATAAAGTTGTGCTCTCTGGAAAGTGAACTGTGGAATGAATCAGGCAGAAGAAAAATTTATCCTATCAGTTTCCCTTACTGAGAGAATTGGTAGTCTATCAAGAATAAAATCAAGACTTCAATAAACTATCCATGCCTTAAATTTTTCCATCAAACAATGGCTCTGAAAGTATATGATACAAGTGCTAAGCTACTTTTCTCATCAAAGAAACAAGTACATGAAAGCATGTGTCTTCGAAACTAATAAAAAAGTGACTAGTTGCTGTGCCATTGTACAAAAATACCTGATTTTCTTTCTCCTGCCATTCAAAAAGTATTTTTGCTTATTATAATTATTTTATTCCAAGACTTAGATTTTCTTAAGATGTTAAGAGATGAAACACTAGTCTTCAAAAGCAACACGTTCAACAGGTATTACCCTCACCGTCCCTCATAGGCTACAGCCTTGGACAACATTTGTAAGAAACTTGTTTCTAAGATCTGGCTATTCTCCCCTGTTTTTACTCAGCCTCTCTGCCCCTCTTGCTGTTATTTAGATGAAGTGAGGTATTGCTTTGGAATCAGGATGAGTAAAGGGCCCTTGGCACAACCTCATCTGAGCCATATTAAATATGCTCCTTCATTTCTCAGTCTGCCAATAGTTGAGTTCCTCACCTGTCCCAAATCAATACTATGATATAGATTGTACAAACTTCGGCATCGACTGCGAGACTTCTATTTTACTGTGAAAAATCAAGAAGAGCTTTAGAAGGACCACATTAAAAACAAGGAGTTAAAAACAAACAGATGACAAACAACACACAACCAAGCCTCCCAGGCTATGAACATTTCCTGCATAGATTAATAAAATCTGTTGAATTTCCGACTCTTACATCTCGAAGCCTCCATGTGACTAAGTCGTAAGTCAAAAGCTCATTTCATATCAAGAAGTCAAAAGCTAATTTCATATCAAGAATAAACAGGAGTAAGCAAACTGTTCACTGATTGCTGGTGTTCACCGATTCTCAGGGCTGGTTATTTTTACATGTGTTTATGAAACTGTGCTAGATGTAGGTCAGCCTTTTCCTCCTTAGGAAATCGCTACACATGCTTTAGCTCAGATCTTTTAAATTAAAAACAAGATATGCTTGAGACACTTGACTATACTTTCCATCACAGTCTCTGTTGCTACTTGTACCTGCACCAGCATCCCTGCCTGCACCCTCTCACGGTTAGACCCCAGTGACTCCAGTCAATGGAGAGACTATCTTCAGCATCTCTGCGATTTTCATCTGAAACTTGCAGTGTAATATTCATTCCATATATGAAAACAGTGTCAGCTAATGATTTAGGCTACATCACGTTAATGCTGTGCTATTCCAAGACTAAGGAAAGAAAGGCCAGATCCAAGTGACATTTCAGTCACCGTCAGGAGAGCAAAACTTCTCAATACCAGCTGAAGGTCTTGTCCCTAGAAGGGTGCAGGTAAAACACACGCAATCTTAGCACAGTAACTGAGGCAAGAAACGACATGTTTTTAGGGTGAGAGTGGTATTTGTGAAGAAACTGTGACAAGAAATCCTTTCAGCCTTTCTTCTGCAGCAAAGTATCTGCTTAGTTCCACATCTTAAGACATAAAATGCATAACACAAACACTGTAGAAAACATGCCTACCTTTGTGTGCACAGACACAAATATTTGTACATTTGTTGCCAACTTGTTTAGACACTTTTTTTGATGACACGTCTCCTGTCAACAGGGCTATAATTAAGCTGCTTCCTATCTATTGCGTAGTAGTATGCTACCTGCCACAGCTGCTTCCTAAAGCCCGTAGCAGTCCAACCACATAATCACATAAAACTTTCGTCATTGATGCCTGTTGTTTAATGCTAATTTCTTTGTGCTTACTAAGAGAAATTGCTATTGACTGCTTTCATTAGGAAACTATTGACCCTTATCCACTGGAGCATCCTGGAGAAGAAATTCGCTAAATGTGCCCATATTTCATTCTCTGAACATCAAGGTAGAAGAGTCATGCTGAAGGATACGGTTTATTTAATCCAAAATTAAAATTTTATAGGCTACATTACCTAAAGTAAATTGCTTAATACATTCAGCAGAACAGCTGTTTTCTAAGTGTTTGGCTTCCATGTTTTCAGTGCCTAAATTAAGCTGAACACCACTGCTAGCACCATAGACTTCCAGGAGATGAGATATACTACGCCGAAATTTAAGACACAGAATTTAGATTCAGTGAAGCAGTGATTTTCAATGCATTCCTCTAATACAGCACAATACTATCACAGCCTTCTCAGTTTAATTTTCCTTTAGTAACAGCTTTTTCAATATACATTTTACACACTCTTGAACTGTATAGTGAAGTGTAACAACTTCGTTGTACTCATATTTGCTACTTGCTAGCAATTATACAGAAAACCACTGCAGTACAGAGATCCTGCGTGCCCTAAAGATTTCAGATGTTGGACCCGATGTTGATCCAGTTACCATCCAGGCCCAGGCAAATACATCTCGCCACCACAGAACAATTTTGGCACAGCGAGTGAATCCAGCCAGATCTCTCTTTGCCCGTGACACTGTCCTGCTTGTGCACAGAGCCACTCATCACACGTGCCACAAGTCAAACATGCAAGGAAAAGCGCTGCCCAGGTCCCACGTTTCATGGGACAGGGGGCGCCTGTGCCACTGGCTGGGAGACCACTCCAACTGCAGCCCTTCCCTGAAAGGCACTGATGGAAGGCATTTGGCTAATGTAGAGTAGCACTTCAGAAAGTCAGAACCTAGCAACATTGCCATACAAAACACCAGGTTCATTCACATCCCTGCCATCAATAACCTGTACAGCTCTGCAGACTCCCTTCAAAGCAAGCTGAAGGATGAAACATTAAATTCACTAATCAATGGCAATGGCACATGACATCTGCTAACCCCTCATAACCAAATCAAACGTAACTTTCAGAACCCTGTCACAAATTCATTTGTCATAATTTTAACCATTTACCTGTTTCTCATCACTGATATATCTCCTTGAACACAAGCCCGAGGAGAAGCCAAGAACACTCACTCTGTGATGCTGACCCACTTTCATCAGCTGCTCTTCTAAGTTCATTTATTCCCCTTTTAAACAAATGTGTAAGTGGAGAACACTACGTGTGGAGTAGAAAGCTGTGCCATAAAATGAGAGGCATGCGAGAATTTATCACACCTTTGACAAACTTCCTTGCAATCTGTCTCCTACCACATCCAACCCCTTAAGACTTCTGATATTACAAGACATGCGAAGAGTTGCAAATAGTCACTGTTATTTTATATTAATTCATTTGGGTATGTGAAATTGTTTTGTCAACGTCACAGCAATCTGTCACACAAAACAGTCCGTTTTCATGCTGCACTGATGAAAGAATATGTGTAGAAAAATGCATACAGCAAAGCTAATTTATATTCCAGAGCTGTGACAGGGATTTTTATGTGATCAGCAGAGGCACATATCAGAAAACCAGTGCAATTTACTATAAGCCTGATTATATACCTTACCCACAAATTAATCTCATTGAGATTTATTTCAGCATTCCGAACTTTTATACATGTGTCTGTGTGGCTCTATTATTGAAATAATTATTGTTTATTAGTTCTGTTCTGGTAGTATTCAAATACTACAATTAGAACGAAGCCCAAACATGCTGTACAAACACCTATTAAATCTTCCTGCATGGGCAAGCATAGGGTCTAGAAAAACACACAGGAAGATCGGAGAAAACCAGAACAAAACAGTGAGCAAAGCAGACTCGCTTCTGATCGCTGCCTCTTCTTCCTTCCATACTGTCCTTCGTCACAAAAACTTTGAAAGTTGAAGTACAACACTTCTTACAATAAAGTAAACCACTGCCTGTCACTATCGCATCACTATTTTTGACTCTTTCTTGTCACTGCCATTATTTAAAGGCACAAAGCCTTCCGGGATCATTAAAATCAGCTTTAGTCATCTCTGTGCCCATTCAGCTTCATAACATCTTTGTTAATCATATCTCCGTTCCCAACATTCATTACATCAACACACTCAGCTCCGCCTCCTCGCTCGTGGTGTCAACGCAGAGACCCGCTGCTGCAGGTCGGACCTACCTGCAGACGTCCCCAGCTGCATTCCGCTGCGCCAACACGCGGCTCATGCCGTGGGCCCTCGCCGCTGGAGGTGAGCATCCCCACCTGCGCAGACGGCACCTCCACGGAGCACCAGCATTGCAGAAACAAGCAATAGGCAGACTAACTTACTAATTGCTTTCCCAAAACTCAAAGGGACAAAAATAAGTGAAGTTCAGATTCCCAAATGGCCAGGCAGCAGCCTGGAAAGTGCTGACTGAGCTAGCGGGGCTGTGGGACCAGATCATGCTTTCCGAAAGGAGAGAGCCAAATATAGGGCACAGCCATTTATTAAGTTGGTTCCATCCATTTATTAAGCTGCCTCCTTTCGCTTGCAACCTTCCCATGAAAAATGGTCACAATACGTTTTTACACCCACCAGACTAACCTGGCAGGAGTGCAGTGAGGATTAAGCAATTAATGGTTACATGTTTCTTTGAGACCCTTCCAGGAAAGCTACTCCATGTATTACTAGTGGTAATCAGAAGAATGATTACTGGAGTGTTACTTCCAATACAGGCTCTTACAAAAACTGTATAGATTTGAATAGAGCAACCAGAAGAGGTCCAGCTCTTGCACAACTTCTGATAAGGGATTTGCAAGCTCCTGGCAACTGATTTAGAAAACCTTTGCAGTGTACTCCGTGTGCAGTGTTTCGTAAGATAAGCCACCAAGAAAAGGATTTATTTTCACATTTTCAAACGTCTTCAAAAAAAGCCTCACACTGTAAAGGCAGTAATCTGTACCTGCATTTCCAAGGCTTGTCAAAAAGTTACATTTGCTTACACCAGAGTTTCTGCATTCTTCTGCAAAACACACCGTCACTCTGGACATAACAACATTACAAGGGCAAATGAGATAAAACAGCAGCAGATGTTGTTTCTGTGCCCCTCTGCAAGAATTCCTGCCAGCTTGCTTTTCCTCCTCAAAATCTGCAGAAGAAGTTGGGGCTCTGATGTCACCTTGCCTAGACAGCTCTGGGCCTTTCATGCTGTCTAGCATTATTACCAGCAATACAATAAGCATAGCTACATCTTCGCCTAATGCTATTCACTGCATGTACTTAGTGTCTGCCTGTATTATGCCATTATAAGTGGCGGAGGAAGAAAAGGGTAGGCAAGAGGAATAACAAACAGGATTTTCTTGGAATAATGTTTCTCAGCCTTGGACTGATGAGGGGCTGCAGTCAAATATATTCCTGCCATCACTGCCACACAAAGCTGTCTAACTTTGTAACATTTGTTTTACTAATTGAAAAATCAATTATTAACATAGATTATTTTCACATTTGTAAACAGCACTGCATGCAGACACCTGCTTGATCTGACAGAGCCTCTGGTCCAATTTATACTTCCTCAAGCAACTCAGTAGCCCCTGGTTTCCATCAATGCTACTCTCTTGTACTGTTTCAGCTCCTTGGTCTTTGCCTCTGCCCCTAAATGCTACGGGGCATGGCCCAAGTAACCGTAACACCACGTTCCTTAATTTCCCCTTCTGCAAAGTCACCCAAATCTTTCTCTCCTTATCAGCACACAGACAGGGTAAGTTGAAATGCAAGTTAAGCACTCTTCGCGCTGCTTTTTGTCACTACAGTACAGTACATTTGGTCACAACAAAGTGCTTTGAATCTCACCATTTGACTCCAAAACCAATGCTTCCCATTGGGTGCACACTGTAAACTGAAGAAATGCCACCTAACAGATGAGAATTGTCCATCCTTGAGCTTCAGCGCTCCCAGATCACCATCAATTTCACACCCATTAATTACGCCACAGCCACTGCAACATCTTGCTGCTTTTCCCTTCTGCTGCAGCAGCCCCTCTGCCTGCCCCGGGAGAGGACGAGCCCTTGCTCCGTGGGAGCAGGCAGCCCACCAGCCCTGAGTTTCAGGTGCTCAGCCAGGGCTGAAGGTCAGCCCAGGGGAGTATTCGTCGTAAGACCCCACATCAAAGCTGAGCCCACAGGCAGTGTATATGTAAGCAGGCATCAGCCCACACGGATAATGATTTTCAAAGCGTGATTCTTCTGCTATCAGGACACTCCTTCTGAAAGACAAACCCCACTTTTTTAGCAATCTTACAGCAGTTTTGGTCCCATCTGGGAGCTGCATGGGGATGTTACCTAAATAATCTGAGACACTTCGCTTGGATCAAACGCACTTATTTCTGCTGACCCTACCCTGATCTACTTTGGTGATGAAAACAACCGAGCTGGAAGAAGTATCAGACTTACATATACAAAGGCTTGAAGAGGTTATTGCTGCAGGATCACCAAATGCAAATTTCACATCCTAAAATCCTTGTTAATCCTATCTTCCCGCTAAGTAAATAAATACATAAAAGAAATAACAAACTGCCTTGGCATTAGTCTCGAGTTAAACCAAGAAACTTTGACACTCTTCCTCCTTCCCCCAACCTACAATGACATTTTAAAAACCCTTCTCAGATTCCTCCTTGCATTTGTTCTGAGAGGCCTTGAAAGCCCCTGCTCGTATTGAGGCTTGTGGGAAAAACGTGATTTGACTGTTTCCCCTGCCCGTGCATGCACACCCTCAAACACTTTTGAGGACTTACTTCGTAACGGTTTTAGGAAATGAATCCTGAGCATGGTTTGGGGAAAAAAAAAAAAAAAAAAAAAAAAGAAAAAAGTTCCTTGATTGTTTGCTTATTTGTTTGAGGATTTGAGCTGAAGAAACCTGAGAGAAATTCTTCCACATGCAGCTGCAGGCGTCCCTCCCAGCATGCCCCATGGAGGGAGTTCCACTGAGTGGGAAACAAAGGAAGGAGACCTGGGATGGGAACAAACTAAATCCAGAGCCAAACTTTCCCCCAGAACGGCCGAAGGCCATAACCATGCAGGAAGCACACCCTAGGCTGAGCTTGGTGTGTTTGAGGCAGTTTGGCTTGGCAGTCTGTGCCGATGGCGGTGAATACAGCTTTGCTAGGTGAACCCCATTTCCAGCTTCAGAGCAGCTCTCACTCAAATATAACACTGAGCCTGGAGGCAAGCATGAGACTAAATATAGGAAGACAGTGAATATGCAGGAAAACCATTAGGAATCAGGGGCCCATCCAGCAGCTTAATCCATTAAAGTGAGGAGCATCAGCCCAATGAAAGAGTATTTCGTCTCAGTTAGGCTGGGCTTTAAGAGACTGAAAGTAAATAATCATCATGAGTGCTATCCTAGCACTCATGCCAGGTGAGCTCTTGAAATACCCAAATATCTCCTTGCAAGTAGTCTAATTCCTTACCTAGGTGAACAAGCCTGGCTTCTCACCAGTACAGTCCAAATAATAAACAGATGGTTACAAATGCACGATTAGCAAAATTTGCAAGAAGTCCCCAAATTATTTTGCCTCCCTCTTCTACAAATTCGCACAGGAATTTTTGCCTCCATATACCCCCGCAATATTCCCCCCCCCCGGCACTGGTATATATAGTCCAGTAAAAGTGAGAACGAGAAAAATAAAATAAGCCATTTTTTCTACATCTTCATTAAAATACTTATTGCCAAAACACGTAAGATAAAGTAGTGTAGAAAACTACATAGTGTTTTTCAAAAGAGGTAAAAGCAGTTGTCTATCGTGTGGGGGAACTGAATTTTAACTGATTTTACGGCAAAAGCAGTAAAGGCCAGTTCTTCACTTTCTGTTTCATTTTTCCCAACCCTGATTCGTACAGAGGACTTCAACTGTTCCACATGCTTAAGCAGTTATCGGTAACATGATTAGCAACGTTCCTGCTCTTTGCTTTTGATATATACTTTGGGCATGATTGAGTGTTCCAGAGTCTTAAATGATTAAGGAGACAAAAAGACAGACAGTGACAAGCAGGAAAAACAGATAAGAAATGGATTACTCTCTAAGAAACTGAAAACTCCTCTAGAGACCCTAGGCCTTCAAGTTCATTTAAACATTAACGAACTTTACATTTCAAATCATATCTAGGAGGACAAGCGATAGGATTACACAGCTAAATCTATAAGCATTGATTTTGTTTCAGTCACAGATGCACACTGTGCAGTATTGGAAAATCTGCTAAGAAGATAAGGTTATGACACACGGCAAACAGCATGCAGCCATAGTTTAGATAAACCTTTCTGTGTCTTCAAAAAAACTCACCCCCTCCCCCCAAAAAAAACCTAAACACCCACAAGTGTCACATTGTCTGAAAAATACAAATGCTTCTAGAAGCATGTGTGGACCCCTCCGATGTTGGCATTTCATTTGCTACAGAATCTGTGTGAATCACTGCTGCCAGAAAACAAGTCCTTTGATTGATTGTTTTTAAATGTCACCATGTAGCTCTACATTTTAAAATCACCATATTGTTTTGTACACAACAAGCGATTTGCGTTGTGTATCTCAAGATACTCTTGCTAGGTTCCCAGCTCAAACAATCCTATGAGTCAACAGTGCACCATTAGTTTTAAAGCAGTATGTTTACATCCCTCAGATTCTTGGCTTCTATGGAAACCACTATCTAGTTTCTTAAATGATGGAGAAATGAACTCACAAAGCAGCTCAAAAGATACCGTAACTCCATTTCTTCCCCCACACCTACCCCCGGACAAGAAGTCTTCGAGAGCCCTTAATGGAGAGTGGCAAAGACAGGAAATGGACAGCGTTGCATCATTCCTATTTAACTTTCTTCCTATGGGTCTTTATCATCTGCTTCTTCAGCGTAACCAAGAATTGCCATAGGATATGGCTATGTTGTTAAAAGCAGGGAAAACACCCCCTAAAGATTTATGGCTGCAAATTTGGATCTCATTCTGAAAACCTCCAAAGGTGGCTTCCAGATGACTCTAATTTAAACAAGTCCTGTTTTATCTGAGCTTGCAAGTCAAAGGCAGCAAGATGTAACTCCTACCACATCCATTTGGAACTGTTGGTCCATAAACTGCTGCCCCTTAACTCTAGTAGAAAGGTGTACAACCAGGTATTTCGATGCAGTTGACCTACTGCTTTTTTAGTTTGTTTCATTCTTAAAGGAGCTACATGCAATACGGTCACATATCGTTATATTA